TCTATCGTAAATCAAAAAAGGAAGAAGATCCTTTTGCAAAAACTATGTGCCTGGCGGACTTTCAGTCAGATATTGCAGAGGCTTTGTGTCACGTTGGACAAGAAGGGGTGAAGAGGGAGAGGCCTTCAACTTATCTTGACAGATCTATAGAAAATAAGAAAAAAGGCATTAGCTGTTCGCCTTCCCTTAAAAGAAGTAAGACTTGATGGGATGGGACACTTACCTCAATGGAATGATAAACGTCAGCGATGCAAACTACCACAATGGGATAGTCTTCTTCTTTTATTTCTTGTGAAAAGAGCAATGTATCACTAAATTTAAATAAAAATAAGAACTGTTTTGCCATTTTTCATTAAAAGCAAATGTGTTTCTTTAGAACCTCTTAACCTTCCGGGGCTGGCGCGCGGACTGTCAGTCCGCAGCGCTTTTCATTTGCCGTTTACCACGTAACCCTCCCCTTCTCGAATCGAAACATTTCGGTATTCTTCAAGCATCAAATTGTATTATATGAGAGCTTGAAGCGTGGGTGTTTTTGTTTTTATGTTATAAAATATTGCGGAGTGAGAGTCCGCCGCCAGTCCCCAATCCCATTTTTGGCCTCACTATTAATATTTGTGTTTTAAACCTTTTTGAAGGTAAGTAAGGTATATTTTTGTTTTATTGGATAATGTAGCCCTTTTTTACGAATCTTGTGGCACAATTTTTGGTATAAGATAGATGTTTGTGGGTTTTAAGAATTAATGTGGGGTACATATTTTGTGGTCTTATTTGATTTGAAATTGTGGAAATATGTGGATATTGGTACTTATGGTCCTGTTTGTTCCGAGGGTCTTTGAATTCAAAGATTATTTATAAAATATTGTTGGCCAAAATTTAGAAATTTAAAATGGCGATGCCGATATCATAGGGCACATGATTTTTGTTATGTGTCATATTCGTACATACAGTCAGTCTAAAAAAGTCTTCATATACTTTACCATATAATTTACATAGTAAGGTATATGGAAACTTTTTGAATGGACTGCATTTTTTTGTAAATTTTCAGATGAGTTCATATGAAAAGGAGCAGGAAAGATTGAATAAACTTATGTTAGAATGTTTGACCAAGGAGGAAGAAGGGGAGTTTCTGAATGACGAGGATGAAGACGATAATGAAGAAGATATATTGGAAACCCAAGAACTACATTCAGATACGGAGCAGGAAATTTCTGATGTTGAAATTGAGGAGCAAGTGCCAGTGGCGCCTCCGAGGGGGCCAGTTTTCATTGGAAAAGATAAAATATCTAAATGGTCGAAACATATTCCCCATTCAAGCAGAACTCGAGCAGAGAACTTGATCACACGACTTCCAAGAACAAAGGCAGCTGTAAAAAAATTGAAAAGCGCGTCTGAAATTTGGACACTTTTTTGATTTGCAAATGCTAGGAACGATCGTAGAGTATACAAATCAACATATTCAGAAAAATTCAGATAATTATTCCCGTGAGCGAAATACAAAGCCAACAGACGCTGTTGAAATTCAAGCACTTATGATTATATTATATTTGGCAGGAGTGCTAAAATCAGGCCGCCTAAATGTAAGTGAGTTATGGAACAATGATGGAACCGGTGTTGAGATATTCCGACTTACAATGTCTAAATTTCGTTTTCTGTTCTTGCTTCAGCATTTGCGGTTTGATGATCTGGATACTCGGGAGGAAAGAAGACAAATAGATAAATTGGCACCGATTAGAAATATTTTTGATTCTTTTGTTGAAAAATGTAAATCTGCATACACGCCATTTCAGAATGTTACAATCGATGAAAATTTGGAGGCTTTCTGTGGGAAATGTTCTTTTCGGCAATACATTCCAAGTAAGCCGAACAGATATGGTCCGAAAGTGTACGCCCTCGTTGACTCTAAAACATATTATACCATGAACTTGGAAGTCTATGTTGGAACACAACCAAATGGCCCCTATACTTCTGACAATTCTTCATATGCTTTAGTACAAAGACTGGTAGAGCCAATTAGGGATTCGAAGCGAAACATAACTTGTGATAACTGGTTTACTAGTATCCCGCTAATACGCACGTTATACAATGATTACAAACTAACATTTTTGGGTACCATAAGAAAAAATAAACGGGAGTTACCTCCAGAAATTTCCAACCCTACAACAAGGCCAATAGGTTCAAGTATGTTTGCCTATAATGATTACATAACTTTGGTATCATATATTCCCAAGAAAAAGAAAAATGTGCTACTGCTATCAACCCTTCATCACGACGATAAGACTGACCGACAAACGGGCAAACCTGAAATGATCATGGATTATAACGATACAAAAGGAGGAGTGGACACCTTGGACAAAATGTGCGCGGCCTATGATTGCGCTAGAAACACACGAAGGTGGCCTATAGTTATTTTTTATTCCATATTAAATATAGCTGGAGTCAATTCCATGGTTTTGTACAATCTACATAATGTGGATAAAAATATGACGGGCCGAAAGTTTATGCACCTGATGTCTTCCGAGTTGGCTGAAAATCATCAAGAAATTCCTCAAATTAATAATGCTGTTGCACCTGGTCCACCAAATGCAAGAGGCCGCTGCAGTTACTGCGACAGGAGAAAAAATCGACCAACGCGTTTTTCTTGCATAACATGTGGAAAGTTTATGTGTCTGGAACATTTGACACCTATATGTTTGGAATGTCACAGTGAATAGTTTTATTTAGTTTTATGATAAGTTTATATTCTGTTCATATTTAACTAAATACCTACGTTAATTAACGACAATAAACTTTTATGCTGTATTTGTAATAATGCCAAAAATATATGTTCCTATATGTTTTTACGTTGCAAAATTAATGTTGTTTAATTATTATTTTTCATGCTTTTATATAAATAAACAAAAATAATTGCAAACTTTTTTATAATTGCCTCAAATCTAGTATGCGGACTCACAGTCTGCCGCCAATTGACGGAGGAAAATGGCAATACCTAATGGATCTGATTCAATAAAGTAAAGGAAGTAGTCATTTTTTTTGTAGAGTAATAATTGCCTATTCAACAATTTTTGTTATAAGTTTGAAAAAAAGCAACTTTTTCTATTGTTCCAGTACATGCCGTTTATTTATTATCAAAATAAAAGTCTAAAGAAAGTAAAATGTTTAATATACATTACAAATATTTTACAATATGCCTTCAACTTTTTCATTTTCATCTCATTGTAGCTTAAGTAACTTTCCACTCAACCCTTCAAATATATCTGGAAAAATAAACAAAACCATCAGAATGCTTACTGTTACACTACATTGAGACGTTACACAGATAACATTAGTGAACGTAAAAAGGAAGGCGAGACTGATTTTAACGGTTTGCTCCAATTTCTGAAAACACGAAATTTCCCAAAAGTGATGTGTATTTCAAAGGACGCTACAAGGATGACAGATAAAATAGAACACGATTTTAAAACAAACTCACTGATTGGAATTGTTCTGCCTTTGATTAATGGACTACCTAGAAACGATGCTTATAAAGCAACATCTGCACAAACTATGCAAAAATACTTTGAAGATAACTCAAAAGCCAATTATGTATACATTGTTATGGCTTAGCCACTGATTGATAATTCGCCATCTTTCGGTATAGCTGCATTCGGATCCAATAATAAATTTACTTAAAATGATGTCATATTGAGATGGAAATATATTAAAGAAAGTTGTGAAGTTATCAGTATTAAGGTGTTTGGATTTTCTTCTGACAGAGACCCTTGATATCTGAAAGCTAAGAAACTCAGTTTGGAAATTGGTATACCTCTAAATGTAGATGGCATATCACTCAGCATATAAGACAATTGCAATTGAATAAAACCTCCGATGAAACTGATCAGATCAATACTTTTTATAAACAGGATCCAGTTCATATTATCACAAATTTGAGAACCAGATTGCTAAAACGTGGCATATGTTTAACAATTGGTCATTATTTTATTAACGTTGACCATATTCCATTTTTGACAGCAAATGTTGGCAAAGACAAACATTTACTGGATTTGTCTCGAGAAGATAAAATGAATTTTAAGTCGGTCAATAACATATGTTCACCAGAGGTTATTAAGTTGCTTGAAAATTGTTAAGAGCATCCGGAATTTTTAGGAACTCTTGCTTTTTTGAAAGTAGATATTACTTTATCTGGCAGAATATATTACATATGGTATTCAACATTTTTTTCCAAATTTGGCGTTAAATCTGTTAAAGACTAAACAATATATTCACTCAAAAAACAATTTTATTACAGTGAACTGTTATATATCTATAGAACTAAATGCAGAGTTAGAGTTACTCGCTCGATGACTTCCACCTTTTCGATAGTGGTAAATTTCAGTGTGAAAGGATTTCTTGAAAAACAGCTTAAATAATATTTTAAGTGATCTCAGCCAAGGAATAATTTTTCCATGGGAAATTCCTCTAAAAAAGTAGTAACTGGAAACCTATTATAGATATCAAGAGTATAATCAACAAGGCTTTAAATAACGTGCTGAGATGCGCAAAACTTTGGTCTAAAATGTGACAAATATTGACAAACATGAACAGTCCCTAGTTAAAAATGAAGACATCGATTGTGAAATTGCGAAATAATATATTACAGTGTGGATAAAAATGGGGTAGTACAGCAGTTTTATTTTATTTTAAAATTGTATTCTTTAAGAAAAAACAAAATATCCGTGTTTTTTATTTTCGCGATTATATAAAGAGTAACTCTGGAAAATAATTAAAAAACTTCTTGAATTTTTATACAAGTTTAAATGCCATCATTTTACCGCGATGATGACGTACTTTCTCTCGTGAATTTAATTGGTCCAAATGTATT